AGCGTCCAGGCAGCTCCCGTTTGAGCATATGCCTTGAGTTACACATAGCTCCAACGATCCATCACAGTGTCTCTCCACACACACACACACCAGGGTTTCCGTTAGCCGGTAATTACCGGTTTTTAGCTGGTAAAATGTAATAAACACCGGTAAATTCAAAACCTGCCGGTCAAAATGTCCGATGCCCCGATCAATTGGCCGCCGATCATTATCGGCCGATATTCACTCTTAATAGTTTGATCTGTGCTCTCTATAAAGTCCAATCAGGAGAGCTGGATCTGATGGCGAGAGAGAGATCAGATCAGCTGCTGAGTCTGACCTTAAGCCCCGCCCACTGTTTAGCGCGCTGCATGAGAAACTGACGGGCTGTCAGGAGGAGAGAGAGGGAGAGAGGAAAAGAGAGGATCCGTTTCTCCCGTGTTATTATTCAAAGTTAATGTAAACTTTTGAATAATGTACTTCATCTACTACAAGTAGTTTGTTTGAATGTAATAATTATGTTGTTTGTGGAATCATTTATTGAAAAATGAATCTGAATTTTTCGATCTGTTACGATTATAATCTGAAGCAATATAAAAATGAGCCCCATTAACTGAGTTTTAAACATCAGCATATATCCGGTCCTAGTCCGGTAATTACCTGCTAACGGAAACTCTGCTTCACAATTCTTATTATTATTATTATTGAAACATGACCGGTAAGTTTCAAATGTGTCCGGTAAAATAAATTCTGTCCGGACGTTTGACCGGCGAGAAAAAATCCTAGCGGAAACCCTGGTTGGATCAATCTCTTCTTACATCAGTTGCCATCAGTTCGTCAGCATCATTGATGGATGCTACTGTCGTCTCTCCTTGGGAGATGAAGCCGTAGTCATAGGGGTTGTTGGTGATAAGCAGCATTTCTAAAAAGCAAAAGAGAGATGTTTGTTGTTGTATGTTAGGGATACAACAACCTTGGAACTTCTTGTTGTTAGTGGCCCAAAGCCCCTTTTTTTACTTACCAAGCAGCTCAGGCTTTTTCTGAGACAGAATCTGATAGAAGATGTGGTAATCCCTCTCAGCCTTAAGCTGATAGGTGACCCGGGACTTTTCCAGCAGATCTGTGAAGACATAAGAAGTGGGGAGGTGATCATTGGGAACATAGAAACGGACAAGATGAAAGTCTGGAGAAAACTCTGCTTACATGTCTCAATGTCAGCTGAGGCCAGCTTTCCACTGGCTGCAAAGTGAATTCTGATGAATTTACCCTAGAGTGTATGACAAAATGAAAATGTTACAATGTTATACACTCAAAGTAGTATTTATTTACAGACAGATACTTACAAATCTGGAGGAGTTGTCATTCCTGATGGTCTTTGCGTTACCAAAGGCCTCTAAAGCAGGGTTAGCCTGAATGATTTGATCCTCCAGAGAACCCTAGGGGAATACAGGTACGCAAATTGTATTAACAACACAAAGAGAAAAGTATGCAATATGCAGTTAAAAGATTTCAGCATTTTCACCTTTTTGTCACTGCCTGCATCCTTTTTCCCGCCTGCAGCTGCAATGCTGGCAAAGTACTGGATGACTCTCTTGGTATTGACAGTTTTCCCAGCACCGGATTCTCCACTGAAGTTGCAAATGATATTGTTTTATAAATTGACAAATGTGAAACACACAGTACCCCATGTGCAACTAGACAGGTTTTTAAATTTACGAACAAACATTAGTTACGATCAGTAAATAAGTCAATTCTTTTCAACATGTTGTTTTATTCCAGTGCTCTATAGCTAACAGTGGCAATAGACTAGAGTAGTGGCCAGCATAAGCGTTTGCTTCTAACTGAATCACATATTTACACTGTAAAAAACAATCAATAATTGCCATTAAATCTATTATTCAGTGTTTATTCATTGTATATTCATGTATTCTTATACACTGCACTAACATGCACAATTGTCTTTACCACTTAAAATATATAGTACTGGGTCTACATGGAGCATAAATGCTGAAACTCACAAAACCAACAAATAACATTCCTTGGAGAGCCGATTAATGCCACCTGCTCTAATTCTAACAGCATCATATAATTCTCAATTGCAGCATAACAAAGTAATGAAGAGATAACTCACGTGATGAGAATTGACTGATTTTCCCTGTCTAGAAAAGAGAAGAAAGGATCACTTAAAGAATACTAGGATTCCTAAGCGTTTTAATGATTAGCCTTTTATTAACATATGATAACTGAAAGTGAATTACCTGACAGCATGTACTGGTAGGCATTGTCAGAGATGGAGAAGATATGAGGAGGAGCTTCAGCCCTCTTCTTTCCTCTGTAGGCAACAACCACCTCTTGGTTGTAGACTGGCAGCCCCTTGTAGGGGTTGACAGTCACGCAGAAGAGACCAGAGTAGGTCTGTCGTATAAGGGGAATGACAAAATATAGTTATTTCAGATGCTGAGATGTCTTAATAACGAAGGAAAGTTACAGTTCAGGCATTTGTCTTACGTAAATCATCCATGCTGCATAACGCTCTTTGAGGTTAAACAGCACAGCGGGCTCATGGAGGAAGGTGAACATCGCCATGTCTTCAATTTTATCAAACTTTGGCGGGTTCTGAGGGTGTACATCGCACTCCTTCACTGTGACAGTCTGAAATGGAGATAGTCAGTATTAATACATTGTTATAACTCAAACAAGAGCTTTTTGTGTGTATAGGAAGGAAAACAGCAAGCCACTGTGCATCAGAGTCTCTGATTTCCACTGTTTCTCTGCCATGTATGACTAAAGGAAAATTAGACCTGATTTCATATTTGTCTTAGTTAGGAAACCAGTTGCCGCAAGGGCAGCTGTAACTGCCAGCTTACTGACCTTCCCTTTTGCAGTCTCAGCAGTGACTTTGTCTCCATCACGGCTGATGATGGAAGCCTTCACATATTCCTCATCAGGATCTGTAACAAAGCACTCCTTCTTCATGTCAAAGGCACGGGTCTGGGCCTCCAGGCGCTCCCGGTCTGACTTCCTCAGGTACGGGGCTGCTGCCCCAAAGTCTCTCATGACAGAGTCACCCATTGTTCACCTTGTCTATAGAAAAAAAGAAAGCATATGCTTATAAACAGTCCAATTTGAATTAGTTAATTAATCCTACATTGGTGTTATACTTTGTTCAAATCAAACACATTTGAGACGTTCAGATGCTCTTACCTTACCAATCCCTATTGATGCCACGGAGGTGTAATGGTCCTGAGGAAATGAACAATGGAAACGGATGAGAAAATTCTGCAGTCCACACTAACAGAGGTAATGCTTTAGAGTCAAAGTGTAGTCAGTGATTTCAGAACGCTTGTCTCTCCACCTTACCTTGAGATAGAATGGTGACCTATTGGGCGTTTTACCATGGGCTCTTTATAAACAAAGCCTGTCTGCCATATATGGAGGAGCGTTCAGGGTGCAGGAATGTTATTGTGTCTGCGTAGGGTTGGGGGTTCATAGAGGGAGGGGTTAATGAGTTCCTGAGTGCAATATAGAAATCAGCAGGTCCTAGTCTTATCAGTGATGGGGTCTGCATGCTGACATAGCCATATTAGGAGCTCCATGCACTCCAGTGATTAATCATAGGTGCCTTCAAGCAGCCAGGGACGGCAACTCAATCTTTAAATAGACACAGGGAGGAATTATTTTCTCTTCATCTGTTAAGTTTGCTTCTGTTACAGGAACAATACATGTTGTACTGAGCAGAAGCATCCTCACCTCAGACCGGCAGGACTGAACATTTGAAATATGTGTAAAAGTTTATGATTAAATAGATGTGTTCATATCGATGGTGAGGTGTTCAACTTAAGGATGTCAAATAATGTACATTCAAATGTTACTTTCAGAATTTATTGCCACTGTCTTTTTTTGTTTAAAAAATGTACAATGTGGACAAACAACTAACAGACAACAATATTACAGTTACACAAATTCTAGCAAACACATAAAAAAAAGGATTAAATGAAAAGCATGCAGGTGAAGGACAAAATTAAATAAATCATTAAAAACTGTAACAATGAGTGAGTTAAAAAAGTTTATGGTATATATTATATGTGTATTTTGTTTTCCATATTTGTGATACAGTAAGAATATAGCAATCATTACATTGTTATTCTATAAAGGCTTGCATTAGAGAAGATAAAGTGTTAAATGATTTATAAATTGGGAAATAATTAAGTATACTTCACGCATACTGCATCTGGGAACAACAATAAGAAAACTAAAAGATTGTTTATATTCTTTGCATGATATACAACAATCCAGAGTATTTTCTTCAATGTAGACTCCTGGTCTTGTTGTGTAAACACAAAGGAAGACGCAGAACATCTCTGGGGAGATATTCGAGAGAAGTATGTTATGTATGGGTCTCAATTACCCAGAAGGCTTAAGTGGAGTCGCAGTGAGGCATTGGTAGCATATTGTGTTTATTTATCATAGAATGGACTTTACTGTAAGATAAATCAGATACCAAATGGTTGGGTCTAAATTAAGAACATGGGTCTGTGGGATTATTCAGGCGGCAAGTCCTGGGCGACACAAACAAGGGACTGCCACAGGTGACATTCTTGAGAATTACTGAAAGGCAGAAATGATGACACACAATAGAGAGCTATGTCAGCATTACATGCTCCGATGAGACACCAAGGTCACTGTGGAAGCCTTCTCCCATTATCAGACAGCAGCTAACGAAAGCTGGCCCCTCAGTTACAGACCTGTTGACATGGCATTGTGTCTTTGAGGACAAAGATAGCTGCGTGAAATTCCTCTGTAGCACAGAGCCCTAATCGAGGAAAACAGCCTTCAGTTGGAGCAGATGATAGCCCCACGCTGGGTATTGTCTCACAAATATAATGGGAGTGACAGGTCTATTCCACAGCCCATAACTTTTAATGTTCCTTTTAAATGCCCCTCCTATATGGGGTCTGAGCCTAAGCTTCAGTTTTACATCAGCAGACTAACTTTAAGGTAGTATTCTAATAGCTACTCCGTTAACAATATGCTTCTCCAAAAGTAGATATAAACCTTCCTACTGCCCACCCTTAGCTGCTGTTTAACAAGCCCAGTGACTCCTAAACACATTTTAATTTACATTTGATTCCCCTTATCCAAAAAGACTTTTAAAACAAACCATAACATTCATTGTAATTAAATATAACAACCACATTGCACAGCCCATCACTGGCACCAGTAATCACAGCCGCTTCAGAGGTTAAGAGATAAAAGGAGGGTCAACAGCTGGTGACAAGTGCTGAGATTATTTCCATTCTGATAGCTGTTTCGACAGCTGGCGTCAGGGGGCCAAATGGAAGTGAGATATTCCATGCCCCTGCTAAAGACCAAGTGAAGATAACACTGACCTCACAGGTCAAACTTTTATTAATGAACGGGAACATGTTTCAAATGCTTTGTTTATCACAACCAATTAACATTGTCACCACATGTATCCATTAAATACAAACAAGGGAAGGACATAAAGAGAGCCTCAAGCCACATGTCTCTTTGTTCTGTGCTCCCGAAGGAAAGTATTTTAAAAGCCTGATTTAACTAGAAAGCTTTCTTCTTATTTTACCCGTGACTTCATTGCTATTTTATAGTTTTTTAGGTATTTTATCTCTTTTTAACCGTAAAGCAACTGTAAAAGTATTTCATAAATAAAGTGTGTAACTATCATTATTGTTTTAGTCACTATCTTGTTTTGATTTTGTTTTTGGATCCCAATTAAAATAGCACTTAGTTATTATTTATATTTGATCACATAATGCTCCTTCCGTTTTCTGTTGTTTGAGCTTTCTGTAAATGACCAATTTTGCTTTTATAAACAGCCGCTGATGCTGTTGCTTCTGCTGGAAAAGCAAACGACTCTCTATAAAACAGAGGGATTTCCCCCGGAGGGACCTGAGTCAGACCGGTGTGTAAAATATTTTATAAACTGGCTCTAAACTAAATCCCTTTTGGGTTAGAAGGCTCAGTGGTAGTTGCAAACACATGCTTTCCACATCTCAGATAGGACCATTAACATCATTAAGCATGTTGGAGATGGTCTAATTATAGAGGCAGTACACTTTTTCCATCTTTGGCCAGTCCCCTCACTCATGTGAGCATGGTCTCAGATGTCCTGTTAATCATGCCGATAATCCTCAACACACTGTGCTGCATGTGGTGAGCCTCTTCAACATAGGTGTGAATAAGCTTCCATTAGCTGATGGATACCTGCTTGTTCACTCAGGGAGTTGAGGACCTGACATGTAATAAGAGAAGAGACAGGACTCCCTGAATTTCACACGACGGGTGTCTGGGGCCTGCCTCTCCTCCCTCCTTCTGCCCAAATGATTATTTAGCTTCCAGCATCAGCAGCAATGACTGAGACCTGCAGCAGCACCGAGGCAAAGCTCTGAACAGACAGGTAACCATAGCACTCTTAGTACAGGGAAAACATCATTATAGTTGGTTGTGATTTGCTGTTGTCTGTTTCATTATATGATCTATGTTATTGGTGCTTCTTTGAAATCCTCTCTAGCCCTTTGGAGGTATTTGCCGAGCAGCTGCCAGTAATTATTCATGGTATTATGGAAAGTCTGAGTATGAGCATTGGTTCATTGTTGACCTTGAGGCCCAGACTGGGATTTCTTTTACTCTATTTTAAGAAAAGGATTTGATTTATCTCTCTCTCTCTCTCTCTTCTAGCAATCACTACAACTCAACGTCCCTCTTTTTAGGACATCTGCCACTACACTGCATTTGGTCCCAAGAGTTTTCCTGCTTTGGCCTAATTCTGTTCTTCCTGATTCATGATTCCTTTACTGACGCCTATCAGTTTCTTTGTAAATGTAGTAGACTAATGTATTTCATCCCAAATTGTAAAATGTATTATTCAAAATATAGGCACTCTTACTTTTTCTTTGCGAGTGACCAGTCTAGGGGCGGGGTGGTGCAGTGGGCTGTGCGTTTGATCATCAGATCAAGGGGGGCATTGGGGCCACTGCGTCAGGCCGTTGTGTCCTTGGGCGCTTCACCTGAATTTGCTCCTGTGGGTATTGTCCACAGTACATGACCATTACATGTATGTGTAATGTGTATTTGTAAGGAGCGCTTTGAGAGTCATTGAAAAAGCGCTATAATAAATATAAGGATTATTATTATTATTTCTGATCGATTTAAGTTTCCTTAAACACAGTATTCCTAATACATTGTGTCAAGAACAAACACTTTCTTAAGAATGGAAGAACACAACGGCGTTAACATTTTTGATGAGATTTTATTAAGCATTACAGGTTGTGATAGCAAAGGGAATCAATACAATGGAGTAGTAAGGCCTCTATTGGGAAAAAATCCCAATCTGAGATTTCCAATATTAAGTCATAATATTTTGAAAATAAAGTCTCAATATGATAGGTTGCTATGAATGATATTATGCGTATAGTTGCTATTCAATTTCATTTGCATACTTTAATCTTTTTGAACAGTCCAAAGGCCACTGAAGCCCTCAGTTATTCTGACTGGTTCCTTCCCTATGCTAGTATCTTCCTACTCACGAGGCTTTCCATTGAAATCCTAAGGGAAGTGTGTGTATAGCTGCACTTTATCAGGTGGTGAAGATTTATGTGTCAATGTGTTTTCCAACTGTTTTGTTGAACTGTGTTCCTTCCAAATGAAATTACAACTACATTTGTGTCATAATACAACTTGAAATATAATGACTTTATTCTAATTAGAAAGCATGTTTTTAGTTGCAATACAATGCCCTTTTTTCTCTAAATATTACAACTTTATTCTTGAAATCTTAAAATTTTCTCCCATGTCGGCCTTATACTCTGTTCTACAGCACACAGCGGGCTAAGGGATTTCTGCAGGCTCCAAAGCTTCACTCTTCCTCAAACACTTTCTGTTGCAGCCCAGGAATTTGGAAAAAAAGAAAAAGAGAAAGCTGTTAAGACTGCAGATAAGCAATGCTTTAATGCCATAAAGCAATGTATTCATTAACAGACAAATGTACACTAAAGCACACTTGTACTAATACTCAAAAAGCAGAGCAGCATGTTAAATTAGCCAGCAGAGGGCAGCAGGTGTCAGGGTGAGATGCTGAGCACCTGCTGCAGAGTGCATGGTTCAAACCTTGGGGCCCACATCACGGCTCTTGGCACGCAGCTTGTTGACCTGAGTCTCAGCAATGTCAGCTCTCTCTTCAGCCTCATCCAGCTCGTGCTGCTGCTTCCGGAACTTACCGAGGTGAACATTAGCCTGTTCCTCCTGTTGAGGATTGGTACAAATAGAAATAGTTACCTATTGACAGGGGGGAAAAGCCAAATGAAAACCACACTTCACACATTGGCAGACTTACAGCATCCTCAGTAGTTCTCTTGTAAGATTTAACCTTCAACTGCAGCTTATCTACCAGGTCTTGGAGTCGGGCAATATTCTTGCGGTCTTCCTCACTCTGTGGAAATACAAGCACATTTCCTTCCAATACATTTCAACCACACAGAAAGATTATTAAAGCTAGTTACGTCACAAACCTGATAGGTAAGTTCCTTCATACGGCGTTCGTATTTACGGATGCCTTTCACAGCTTCGGTGCTTTTCTTTTGCTCCAGTTCCACCTCATTTTCCAGCTCCTTCACCTGCTCAAGGACAGTGTTTTTTCAATAAATGTTCTCATAACCTCTTCAACATCACTATATAACACTAATGACTAATCAAAAGAAATACTAACCCTGGCCTCGAGCTTCTGGATCTGCTTCTTGCCTCCCTTCATAGCGATCTGTTCAGCTTCATCCAGACGGTGCTGCAGCAGATCCAGAAGCTCGAGGCCAGGGTTAGTATTTCTTTTGATTAGTCANGCACTGAAGGTGAGAGAAAGGCAATGTTTAGCTCTTAACCAACCAAGACAAACACTGTCCTTTGTAACTAGACCTCCGTTTTATAACCTTCACTTTCTTTCTTCAGATGCTGACAAAGTTAGCATATCTGATGGGCCTGAACACTTCCGACCTCATCAAAAGTCTCTGTCACCCGAGAGTCAAAGTCGGAAATGAGTGGGTCACAAAGGGACAAAGTGTTGCTCAAGTAAGAACAAAAAAACTGTTCTAAAACTATTAAAGGAGCACATTATGTTTTCCATATGGCTACTTCTGCATGGGATAAAGGTTGCATGCTACATTTCAAATGTATGTTGCCTATTCCAAAGGTGACCTACGCTGTTGGAGCTCTATCAAAGGCTGTTTATGAAAAGATGTTCCTGTGGATGGTGATAAGAATCAACCAGTCACTGGAGACCAGACAGCCTCGCCAGTACTTTATTGGTGTACTGGACATTGCTGGATTTGAGATCTTTGATGTGAGTTATCTGATTAGACCAACTCGTTCCCAATATAAAATGGATAGAAAGTCTGACCTGTTTCTTCTTTACAGTTGAACACCTTTGAGCAGCTGTGCATCAACTTCACCAATGAAAAACTGCAACAGTTTTTCAACCACCACATGTTTGTGCTGGAGCAAGAAGAGTACAAGAAAGAGGGCATTGAATGGACTTTCATCGATTTTGGAATGGATTTGCAGGCCTGTATTGACCTGATTGAAAAGGTAAGAGAGTGGATTATTACATTTTCTTGAATCAACAAAAAGCAAGTCTTTTGAAACAATTTACATTTTTCTCCTTTCAGCCCATGGGTATCATGTCCATCCTTGAAGAGGAGTGCATGTTCCCCAAAGCCTCTGATATTACCTTTAAATCCAAGCTCTATGACAACCATCTCGGGAAGTCTGGTAACTTCCAGAAGCCCAGAGTTATCAAAGGGAGACCAGAGGCCCACTTTGGCCTGATGCACTACGCTGGAACTGTTGACTATAATATAAACAACTGGCTGGTGAAAAACAAGGATCCTCTGAATGAGACTGTTGTTGGATTCTACCAGAAGTCCAATCTCAAGCTGTTATCCGTCCTGTTTATTAATTATGCTGGAGCTGATCCAGGTACCCTGGCATGAATATCTTGTTTGGAAATGACACCCTCTCTTCTCTAGCTAAAAGGTTACATTTTAACAGTTATTTTTCTTAACAGTTGCAGGTGAGGAGCAGGAAGGCAAAAAAGAGAAGAGAAAGAAGAAGGGTGCATCGTTTCAGACTGTGTCCGCACTTCACAGGGTATTTTCTATGAATGTTTTTATCCTAGGATATTATATTTTGTATGGTTCTGAATATCTTAACAGCCAGCTATAAATATGTGATTCATCACATTAATAGGAAAACCTGAACAAGCTGATGACCAACTTGAGGTCCACTCACCCTCACTTTGTACGCTGCATCATCCCCAATGAGACCAAGACTCCTGGGGCCATGGAGAACCCTCTGGTGATGCACCAGCTGCGCTGTAACGGTGTGCTGGAAGGCATCAGGATCTGCAGAAAGGGCTTTCCCAACAGGATCCTGTATGGAGATTTCAAACAGAGGTATTATCAGACTCAAGCCCGGCCCTTTAAAATTAGAAGCAGAAGTCCAGAATATTATTAAGAGATTAAGATTTTTACAAATATTTTATTTTTCAGATATCGCATCTTGAATGCCGCTGCCATTCCTGACGGCCAGTTCATCGACAGCAGGAAGGGAGCTGAGAAACTTCTTGGGTCTCTGGATATTGACCACAATCAGTACAAGTTTGGACACACAAAGGTATCATCTGAAGTTTTCTGATATTAACGAGAATAAACAATCGGTAGGAGATGAAGAAGGTAGCACAACAGTAAAATACCCATTGTTGTTATTAGGTGTTCTTCAAGGCTGGTTTGCTGGGTCTGCTTGAGGAGATGAGAGACGAGCGGCTCTCCAAAATCATCACTGCTATTCAAGCCAGATCCCGTGGCCTCTTGTCTCGTATTGAGTATCAGAAGATTGTGGAACGCAGGTATCTTATGTTTACAGCTGATGACATCGGGAACAATTCAAAGGTTATTGTTGGTTGATTAATAGCCTTTCATTTTATTCAACACATATTTTAGAGAAGCATTATTGGTGATCCAATGGAATGTCCGTTCATTCATGGGGGTCAAGAATTGGCCCTGGATGAAGCTGTTCTTCAAGATCAAACCCCTGTTGAGATCGGCTGAATCAGAAAAGGAAATGGCCAACATGAAGGAAGAATTCCTGAAGCTGAAAGAGGCCTTTGCAAAATCTGAAGCTCGCAGAAAGGAACTGGAGGAGAAAATGGTTTCTCTGCTTCAAGAGCAGAACGACCTGCAGCTCCAAGTTCAAACAGTGAGAATGCTATCTCAAATGCAATGTATTTTTTGAAAATGTCCTGTCATTAATGTATGTGCTAATGAAGTGAGATGTTTCGTAGGAGCAAGATAATCTCTGTGATGCAGAAGAAAGATGCGAGGGGCTGATCAAGAGCAAGATCCAGCTTGAGGCAAAAGCCAAAGAGCTCACGGAGAGGCTGGAGGATGAAGAGGAGATGAATGCTGAAATGACTGCTAAGAAGAGGAAGCTGGAGGATGAGTGCTCTGAGCTGAAGAAAGACATTGATGACTTAGAGTTAACTCTGGCTAAGGTGGAGAAGGAAAAGCATGCCACAGAGAACAAGGTATGAAACTTATCTTAAACATTTTTTGGATCAGTACTTGATCAGGCCTCTAGTAACTTATGTTTTCATGAATTAATAGGTAAAGAACCTGGTGGAAGAGATGGCTGGTCAGGATGAAATCATTGCTAAGTTGACCAAAGAAAAGAAAGCCCTACAGGAATCTCATCAGCAAACACTGGATGATCTTCAGAGTGAAGAAGACAAAGTCAACACTCTGACCAAGGCCAAGACTAAGCTGGAGCAGCAAGTGGATGATGTAAGCATTATTATCAAAAGTGTATATGATGTAAGTATTACAAAATGATGAATTCACGACTGTTGTAAACAAACCTATTTGTATTAAGCTCGAGGGATCTCTTGAGCAAGAGAAGAAGGTTCGAATGGACCTTGAGAGAGCTAAGAGAAAGCTGGAGGGAGACTTAAAGTTGACCCTGGAGACGTTAATGGATTTAGAAAATGACAAGATACAACTGGAGGAGCACCTGAAAAAGTACACATTCAGCATGACATTGTTCATTCACTACGGTCACTTAATACTGTGTAGCCAGTTTTAAATGTTCCAATAATCTTGTAACAAATAAACAAAATGTTGCAGGAAAGACTTTGAGATCAGCCAGCTGAACGGGAAAATTGAAGATGATCAAGCAATCATCATTCAACTCCAGAAAAAGCTGAAGGAGCTGCAGGTACAACATTGTACTAAAGGAACTTAATTAAAAGTTAGGAAATTATAACTCACATTTAAAATATGTTGTTCTGACACTAGGCTCGTGTAGAGGAGCTTGAGGAAGAGCTTGAAGCAGAGCGAGCTGCTCGAGCTAAGGTGGAAAAGCAGAGAGCCGAGTTGGCCAGAGAGCTGGAGGAGATCAGTGAGAGGCTGGAGGAAGCTGGTGGAAGCAACATCTGCCCAGATTGAGATGAACAAGAAGAGAAGAAGGCTGAGCTACAGAAACCCGCAGAGACCTTGAAGAGGCTACTTTACAGCATGAACGCCACTTCTGCCACATCCAGGAAGAAACAAGCTGACAGTGTGGCTGATCTGGGAGAGCAGATAGACAACCTGCAGAGAGTCAAGCAGAAACTGGAGAAGGAGAAGAGTGAGCTCAGAATGGAGCTGGATGATGTGGTCTCCAATATGGAACACATAGCCAAGTCAAAGGTATGTGCGCATGAAGATGTTCAAGGTACATTTCCACACTGATGGAACTGACTGATAACTGGTAAGGAATTGTGACAATGCAATAGCCTAGGGAGATGCAACATCAGTTAACAGTGCACATAGTATCTACAATTATATTGAGTTGTTCTTAATATTATTATTCCCTCTAAGTTGGGAATGCAATATAGTGAATAAATGTCTAGAGATGTTTCATTCTGAAAAGTAATCAACATTGTTTGTGAACTATTTCTTTTGAAGATTACCTTGGAAAAGACCTGCAGAACTTTGGAAGATCAAATGAATGAATACAGGAGCAAGTGTGATGAATACCAGAGATCTATTAATGACTTCACCACTCAGAGAGCCAAGCTTCTAGCTGAGAATGGTCAGTTTAACACGTTTCAATAAAAAAAAAAAAAATTGTTTGATGTAAAACAATCTAATTCAAAAACCGAACTTTGGCCTCTTTAGGTGAGTTTTCAAGACAGCTGGAAGAGAAAGAATCTCTTGTTTCTCAGCTGACCAGAGGAAAAAATTGCTACACTCAACAACTTGAAGACATAAAAAGACAACTAGAAGAGGAAGTAAAAGTATGAAAACGGCAAAACGTATTAATTTACAGTATCTGTATATTTCAAATATTTTTCCATGTGGAAGAGGAATACCAACATTATCATTATTTATTCAGGCAAAGACTGCTTTAGCCCATGCAGTGCAGTCTGCTCGTCATGACTGTGATCTGCTCAGGGAGCAGTATGAGGAGGAGCAGGAGGCCAAGTCTGAATTGCAGCGTGGCATGTCCAAGGCCAACTCCGAGGTGGCTCAGTGGAGAGCTAAGTACGAAACTGATGCCATCCAAAAGACTGAGGAACTGGAGGAGGCCAAGTGAGTAACAACAAACACTTGTGTCACTAAAAGTAATGTCAACAAATTGCCACAAGTTGATTACAATTGCAGCTAGTAACTACAGCTTGAAGAGAAATGTAATTCATTCATTCAAAAATGTTGTTAGTTTGAAAGCTACAGGAGGCAGAGTCAGCTTGCCCTAATATTGTGTATGTTGTTTTATATATTTGAATTGCAATGTCTCCAGTTTGAATAAAGCCAGGCTCCTGTGTGGCATGTGGTTTCACATCACTACCTCCTTTATTTAATGTGCTTTAACAAAGCCATAACATGTCTCTAAAATAAAGAGACACTTAAGCAATCATTGGATAAGACTTGTTATCTTTTTCAGGAAAAAGCTGGCTCAGCGTCTGCAGGATGCTGAGGAGGCCGTTGAAGCAGTGAATGCTAAGTGTTCCTCTCTGGAGAAGACCAAACACAGGCTGCAGAATGAGATTGAAGATCTCATGGTGGATGTGGAGAGATCTAATGCTGCTGCTGCCGCTCTGGACAAGAAGCAAAGAAACTTTGACAAAGTACATCAGCATTTTTTATCATTAAAAACCTGGTTTTCAAAGTGAAAATGGTCTACTCAACCAATGCACAGTTTGCTGTTAAAAGTTTGAAGTGGTGATTTAGACGTGAAATGATACAACTTGTATCTCAATGTCTAGGTCCTGTCTGAGTGGAAACAGAAGTATGAAGAGTCTCAGTGTGAGCTGGAGAGCTCTCAGAAGGAAGCCAGGTCTTTGAGCACTGAGCTCTTCAAACTGAAGAATTCATATGAGGAGTCACTGGATCATCTGGATACCATGAAGAGAGAGAACAAGAATCTTCAGGGTAATATATATTAAGGTGTCTAAAATGGCATATCATACATATTTCAGGTGCCACAAAGTGAACTCTCATGACTCTCATACACAGAGGAGATGTCTGACCTCACTGAGCAAATTGGAGAGGGAGCAAAAAGCATTCATGAGTTGGAGAAAGCCCGCAAGCAGCTGGAGCAAGAAAAGAGTGAGATTCAGTCTGCCCTCGAGGAAGCAGAGGTAACACTTCAATGTCAAAGCTTTTTCTGATACATTTATCATTTGAGTTTCAAAGTTATAGTAGACATTTCTTTTTAAATACATTCCTGATTTCCATCTTAGGGGTCTCTTGAGCATGAGGAGGGAAAGATTCTAAGAGCCCAACTTGAGTTCAACCAGATTAAGGCAGACATGGAGCGTAAACTAGCTGAGAAAGACGAGGAGATGGAGCAGTCCAAGAGGAACCTGCAGAGGACCATTGACACCCTGCAGAGCTCTCTTGACGCGGAGACTCGCAGCAGGAACGAGGCTCTCCGTTTGAAGAAGAAGATGGAGGGAGACCTGAATGAGATGGAGATCCAGCTGAGCCAGGCAAACAGGCAGGCGGCTGAGGCTCAGAAACAGCTTAAATCTGTCCATGCACATCTTAAGGTGAAAAGGGGGAAATACCTTTATTGTAATTGGCATCATTACTTTGGTATCTTTGTAACTGGAGAATCTGATCATTCTACAGGACGCCCAGCTCCAGCTTGATGACTCTCTTCGATCCAATGAAGAGCTTAAGGAGAACAATGCCATTGTTGAGAGACGCAACAACCTGCTTCAGGCTGAAGTGGAAGAGCTCAGATCTGCTCTGGAGCAAACTGAAAGAGGACGCAAACTTGCTGAGCAAGAGCTGCTGGATGTTAGCGAACGTGTGCAGCTACTGCACTCACANTCTCGCTGCTTGGTCTTGACTTCATATTTCCATGATGCATGNTGGTATCAAAATGAATTCGAATGAATTTACCCTGAAAGAAAAACATTTGTCCTTTTTAACTACATGATTGCGTTTTCAAGTGAACTGAATACAAACAAGTAATCACAATTTATTCACACAGGGATTAGATACTTACAAATCTGGAAGAATTGTCATTCCTGATGGTCTTGGCATTACCAAAGGCCTCCAGAGCAGGGTTAGCCTGGATGATTTGATCCTCCAGAGAACCCTGTCAAAGAGGAACATTGTGTGGGCTCATTTTTGTTTAAAGCTACACAAAGAGACTTTAGCAACCTCTGGCTGCAGTTATTACAAAGTTTGAAGACATTTTAAGTTTACAATTTATATAGTAGCTGTCGAAAGTGGAAATCATGACAGGATTGTTTGTGAATTTGTAAGATACTATAAACTGATAATTTAATCAAGCAAGGTAGCAAAATCTATTCAATGTCAGTTCAGCCGGCTAAGTTATGGGAGTTAAATTTATCTTTTTGTTTAATGGTTTAATCTGTAGTTTCAATCAGAACCTCTCTGGCAACTCACACATTTGACAGAGTTATTATTATTTACCTTGTCTTTGGCATTGGGGTCTTTCTTTATGCCTCCAGATGCAATACTTGCAAAATACTGGATGACTCTCTTTGTGTTGACAGTCTTTCCTGCACCAGATTCTCCACTGTAATTGCAAACTCAAAAATCAATACCTAATGGCATCATATAATAAGATGATATTGCACAGCATATAGTGTCATTTTTGATAATCAGGTAAAACACAATACATACGTGATCAAAATAGACTGGTTTTCCCGGTCTAAAAAAACAAGTGTGCAGAAAGTGCAATATTGTAAGTATTAAGATTCAGCATAATAACAAAAATTACCGAAGCATTATTGGTCATTTGTACCTGACAGCATGTACTGGTAGCCATTGTCAGAGATGGAGAAGATATGAGGAGGAGCTTCAGCCCTCTTCTTTCCTCTGTAGGCAACAACCACCTCTTGGTTGTAGACTGGCAGCCCCTTGTAGGGGTTGACAGTCACGCAGAAGAGCCCAGAGTAGGTCTGTGAGATATAGAAACATTTTATTGTTTTACCAAATACTACTTGTAAATTGAACTTTTTTATGTTTATGATATATTGAAGATTCCACGTTTTGGACACACTGTAACCTTGGATTCATATACTACAAATATTTCGTATAGAATTCTTAATAGAGAACTAATTCATACATTTCTATGTAAAGGTGTATTTGATAACCTGGATAACATTCAGCCACTAGATGGCACACTCCACCTCACCCTTACATTTTGTTCACTATCAAAGCATTTGGTTGCTATTTTGATTCAAAATCAACATATGTAATGGACAGTGAAGATTACCATTCAGGTTTCAAAGAAAGCTTTATTTAGCTTAGCAGATAAGAAGAAGAGTGACCGCCTCTGATATAATTGTCAGCCTTTAAAACTATTTCAGCTGAGTCCAAAGAGCAAAAGCAATATTCACCGTGGTCTTCCTCCTTTTTTCACTGAGCATTTTGGATTGGAACAGGAGTAAAGCCAGGCCAATACTGTTGAATTATTCATTTGGTTTTGTTCACACTAAGAGGCCACTACCAAGATAACAGAGATCACATCTGCATTCTTAGCAACAGCATTTAATGAAACAACATTTTTAATTGAGGTAAACAGAAAATTCCTTTGGAACCCCTCAAAATTAAAAAGGAATTCACCTCCATAAGTTGTCCATAAGGAAAATCCATACTTGTGGTCTGTAACTTTTCAAAAGCTCAGTAGATATATTGTTTTATTTGTCTACATCAAAATGTTCTCAATACTACTTTTCAGAGTAGGTGCAAAATGATAGCTGAAAACGTTTTCTTTAGAGTGTAAACTTGGTGCACGGTACGGCTCATTGACAAATCGTATGTATTGTATTGTCGGCTACTCACGTAGATCATCCATGCTGCATAACGCTCTTTGAGATTAAACAACACAGCTGGTTCGTGGAGGAAGGTCAGCATGGCCATGTCCTCGATCTTGTCAAACTTTGGAGGATTTTGTTGCATGATGTCGACATCTTGGATAACGACAGTCTGAGAAAATAAATTGTTTTGTGAGACAATTTATTTTTGTTTATGCTGCCGGCTCATTTTGTTAACCTCCATGTGCTGCCTTATCATTGTCAACATTGCATGTGAAACATTACAAAGCATGCCACGCATTGTTAGTGACAGATGGCAGCAATACACCGTCTCATCACACACTTCACCCGAGACACAAATCATTCATATTTTTTATCGCCACTGATATACAAGTGGTCTGGTCAATTCATAATAATGAAATATAACAAATACTGTGTTAGTCATTCCTCACACTATTGTTCACACATTTTGACATATAAAGGTTAGACTTATAGTTTAATTGTTATTTCATCATTGCAACTATGATAAGAAAACCATATGTATTGGTAATAATTTTAAAACTAAATGTCTGAATTGTTATGTAAACACTGACCTTCCCATTCACCGTCTCTACAGTGACTTTGCTTCCTTCTCTGCTGCTGATGGTTGCCTTCACAAACTCTTCCACTGCATCCGGGACGAAGCATTCCCTCTTTATGTCGAAGGGACGCGTGGAAGCCTCCATACGCTCCTTGTCCGACTTCCTTAGGTACGAGGCAGCCGGCCCAAACACAGCCATCTGAGCATCCCCCATGGCTGCTCTGCTTTACAAACATGTAGAGAGGATACAAGGTTTTACACGTCTGTATCACATATTTCAGCCTTTAATACTCATTATCATGCATTGCCAAGTAAGCATTAGTAAAGGGAATTGTACCTGTGATTTCAACTCAGATGACAGATAAACTCAAGACTGGTATGGGTAAATCTGAAATAGACAGAGAAAAAAATAAATGAGACATTTTAAAGATTTTGTAAAAGAAAAGGAATTACAGTAGTTTAGCATCAGTATTTGTAAAAGTAACAGGTCTCTTTTTTTACTTAAAAGAGTATTTTGCATCATTAGAATAACAGAGTTAGTTCAAAAGATTAAAAGCATGTAAAAAGCAAAAAGTGGTATCTCATTACCTCGTTTTTGAGAAATGAGACCATATCTAAAACATTTACATGTTGTTTAAACTTCAGAATAATACAGCATGAATACAGAATCGATCCTGTGATGCAGACTTACCAAAGCCAGATGCTGAGGAAGCCTCTTCTAGACCAGTGAGGAAGGCAGGGATGAAATATATAACCCCCAGATAATCCTGCCTAACGGGGCCAAGGGCATCACCCTGACCTATTCACTACCAAAAAAAAACACGTATCTCAACAGGTTAGCTTCCAAACACTCCCCTTTACCCACTCACTCACACATTGTGGTAATCGCAATCACTTTCATCACTTACGACAGTGCTCTCTAATGGGTCTCTTGATGTCTGGTTGCCCTTTCTACTCACATCCAAAAAATTTGATTTTTCGGGAGTAGTGCCAGGGACTTTATCCTGCATAACTGGTCTGGGGCTCACCCAAGCATTGCCTCACTATCTATAATTCCACCACACTTTCCTTCAGTCATCTCTTGTCCTACATTCTTTTTACAAGTAAGGACTGGTCATGAATAGATACCAGGTTCTATTTATTGCCTGTAAAAAAAAAAAAAAAATCTCTGTCATTGATATCAAATTCAAATGTCATTTTCAATGTATAAGCTAATCTATTTCAGCACACTTAAAGCAACATGTGGTTAAAGTGCCTTGAACACTTCGGTAAGGGTTGGAGCAAATTATTTGTCTGACACATCAAATGATAAACAGAAAAATGATCAAGGCCATCCAAAAAGAACAAGTTACCAAGAAGAAGGATATATTCAAAATCATTTTTAAATGTGTGGCTAAGTCATTAAAAAGATCTTTGCATCCACAATTGTATACAGAGCAACCTCTCTGTGTTATCTTTCTCAACTTCTGAAGTGACTTGTTAAAGTAAAACAAAAAGTGAGGGTCTGGCTGAGGCCCTAACTGAACAGTCTTGACCTGTATATCACTAAACCCAGAGTTAAATCTTAAAACCTGCTAGTGGAAAAAACCACCCAGTGGAGGAGTCAGGCATGTATGACTTGGCTTTAACCAGCCTGTGCTGTGGGAAGCACTAACCCAAAAAGATGGGATTGCAAAATGAAATTCACCTGTTAAGTCATGGTCTGTTTGAGAACTCTTGAGTATCTGTCGTTGGTAATTCTTACTGTTGTTTGCAATGTCAATAATGTAATACTTTGCAAGCTACACCACACCAAGTGTCCACTCTGTCACCAGGGGCTAATTGGCTATTACTCCTCCATTAATATTAGGTAATCATCACCTTGTATTATAAGATACTTATCACTGCCAGGTTATAGGTCTATTGTTTAGAGTCAAGGCCGGTCAAGCTGTGGTCGGCATCCTGTCAGCAGCCACTACAGACACTCAAGAGACAGCTCTGCCATGATATCTTGAATGCTTTGAGCCAATGAAATAAAGCTTACACAGATGGACATGCTTCAAAGAAAACAATACTCCCTTTAGGGATGAAAACAGAAATGTGTCAAACAATGTGCAATGTGTTTTACAGTAAAAACAATAATGGAGAATCCCAGTCCGTCTCTTTTCAACACGGCCACATTCCCCTTTCCCGAAACTTTTTATTACCATTTTACATCCATCCACCAGATGTTTCTGACTTTCCCTTCTTTCTCCTTCACCTTCCCCCTGTCTTTGTCCTAAGAATTTACAAAACATGAATGTGAATCATGTGTGGTAACTTCTGTGCTTCCTGGAAAAAGCAGATTAAACTAAAGAAGAGTAGCCAGTAGATGATATGTAGTTAACGCTAATATTTTTTAAGTGAACATTGCTGCATTTATTGCAAAGTTCAGTTCAAATAAAAGGTCCCATTCCACTTCTAGACAGCGAGTTATCGTTCCATATAACTCTTGTCTCTCCATTGTTCTCTTATGATTATGGTATTAGGCTGTGTGCGGTTTATTAATAACTGTGGGTGGGGTGGATATAAGAAAATGCTTTTGTTTTATAGATGCCTGACCCCATTCTCTTCTCTGCATGACTGACCACACAAACAGAGTGGGAGCCAGTTTACCAGCCACACCATCAGGGGTATTTTCAGCCTGATAGCAGCAGGGGAGATAAGGCTTCACTTTTACTAGCGTTGAGTTTAACCATGCACAGAAGACACAGTCATGAGGAATAAATAACCACTCCGGTGAGACAAAGACCTTAAACCGAAGTGTTGTTCCAGTTTATTCTCTCAGTCATTATATGGCAGCTATATTTCAGACACAACCAATTTTGTTGTGATACTGAAAATGTGTAAACTATAGCTTTTGTCAACAGGTTTAAATCATCCTTGGAGTAAATGTCATTGATATTGCATTATGTAAAGCTGTGATGGATGTGATTGTTCCCATACTGTACATACATCCCTCACTCTGTGATTAATGAATTTGTCAATAAAAAAAACTTCCGACATTTGTCTTTTATGTAGGAATGAACCCAGAGCCTCCATCTATGGCCTTCCGTTTTGGAAAATGTTCATCAGCAGGGCAGGGGAGAGCAGAACAACAGGCAGCTGTTTGTATTCTCAGTCAGTGGAGGATCAGAGGTGTGATCCTACAGCTTACAGACCCTCTGGAGTCCTGGACGCCACACAGACACCAGGCCCATTCATGGATCGGCACTGGGAGGAGTTACACGGGGAGTATGTGGTGTAAGATCATCCTTGACTTAACTAATACCAAACAAACAACTAAGAGTGCCAAAAAAGGAACAATAGTTGAAGGATCCAATTTAAACAGCTGTCTAGAAGAGTTGCTTGCAGGGAAGGGGTAAGTAACCCTACAGTGAACAGACTTTAACACGAATAAATATATATCTATAGATATATATATCTATATATATATATCTATATATATAGATATATATAATGTTCCTTTAATGGTATGAAAATGTGTTTTTGTTTCATATTAAAACATCTTAAATAAAATCTGCTCCCTGTTCCTTATTGCAAAATCTATGAATGTGCAAATGTTGTTCATGTCAAAGTTTTGACTGCCAATATATTTAGCCTTTTTTATAACAAGAAACTGACTTTTTTTACATACTCTCAAGGTATTTTATGAAATATTGCTATGATGGTTTTAAAGGGCATACTTTACTAGTTTTTTTACTTTTTTAAGACATACTATGTTCTATATACTATTGATTTGACTAGAGAATTTGGGATATTTCTGATTAATATCAGTACTGCTTTTTTTTTTTAAATACAATGGTGTGACAAATTATCCTCAGACTTTTTCGACATGTTGTTTTTCCTGATATTTTTGACATTAATGAAATGTATTGTTATCTAATATTAATCAAATTGGTTTTTTGTTCGCAATTAAATAGTCTTAAATAAACATCTCCTCCTTCTCCAACATTAAAACATCTATTAATCTTTCTGATATTTTGGACATAATATAATATGTCGTTTTCTGATTTGTTCGTCATACGTCAATTATTCCTCTTTTTTTTTACATACTATACTGTGTTTTTTATTCAAATATTTTCCACCTATGTGGTTTTTTTTGTAATATTTTCGAAATACGAAACAGTAGTTTTTCGTATTTTCTTCGACATGCTATAATATATCATTTATTCTGATATTTTCGAACATACTATTAATTTTTTCTACAAACTATGTCGCTTTTTCTGATATTTTCGACATACTGTGTCGTTTTTCCTCATATGTCGTTTTACCTCATATGTTAGAAGCACTATACTACGTTGTTTTTCCTCATAATTTAGACATAGTATACTCAGTCGTTTTGTAACATTTTCGAAATTCCATACTATGTCGTTTATTCTGATATTTCGACATAGTATACTATGTTGTTTATTCTGATATTTTCAACTTAATATACTATGTAGTTTATTATGATGTTTTTGTCACTATGTCTTTTTTTCTGATATATATATTTTTTTTTAAAGAATATTTTTATTGCAGAAATGTATTGTATCAACCGCATTGGTATTGATACCAACAATCATATTTTCCATTTTCAGTAACAACAAAACAGCGGATTCAGAACATACTAGTACAATTAGGCAGTTGGCGGTTTTAAAACACATCCATGGGTGAGATAACAAGAAATTCAATATTCATGCTAGAAACAAGAGGGCAGTCCAAGAGAGCACATCAGGACAAAGAAAAGATTCCCATAGCAAATTGAAGAAAAAAAACAACAAGATAAAAGTTACAGGGTTAGCATTATTGATCCTTCATCCCACACCTTCATCCTCACCNCAGTAACAACAGAACAGCGGATTCAGAACATACTAGTACAATTAGGCAGTTGGCGATTTTAAAACACATCCATGGGTGAGATAACAAGAAATACAATATTCATGCTAGAAACAAGAGGGCAGTCCAAGAGAGCACATCAGGAAAAAGAAAAAATGTCCATAGCAAATCGAAGAAAAAAAACAACAAGATAAAAGTTACAGGATTAACATTATTGATCATTCATCC